AACAGGCACATAGATCAATGGAACAAAACAGAGAACCAAAAACTGACCCAAGCCATTACACTCAATATTTGACAAAGGAGACAAGAGCATACAATGGAGTAAAGACAGTCTCTTCAATAAATGGTGTTAGAAAAATTGGACAGGTACATGAAAAAAAATGAAACTAGACCACCAACTTTCACCATACACAATAAACTCAAAATTTATGAAATACTTAAATGTCAGTTGTGAAATCATAAAAATCCTAGAAGAAAATGTAGGCAGCAAAATATCAGACATCTCTGCCCGGCCAGGAGTGGCTCAGTGGTTGAGCGTTGACCTGGAATCCAGGTGATCGGGGTTCGATACCCGGTCAGGGCACGTGCCTGGGTTGCGGGCTGCAGCTGATCAATGACTCTCTCATCATTGATGTTTCTATCTCTCTCTCTCCCTCTCCTTTCCTCTCTCTGAAATCAATAAAGATATATTTAAAATATATATATATATCAGACATCTCACACAGCAGGATTTTCACCAATACATTGCCTAGAGCAAGAGAAACAATAAAAAAATAAAAAAATGGGACTGTATCAAAATAAGGAGCTTCTACACAGCAAAAGAAACCATCAGCAAAATGAAAAGGGAACCCACTGTATGGGAGAACATATTTGCCAAGGACACATCTGATAAAGGGTTAATTTCCAAAATATATAAAGTACTCATATAACTCAACAAAGAAAAACAATCAAATGAAAAAATGGGCAGAAGACTGGTATAGACACTTCTCCAAAGAGGACATTCAAATGGCCAAGAGACATATGAAAAAATGCTCAACATCACTAATCATCAGACAGGTGCAAATTAAATCAACAATGAGGTACAACCTCACACCTGCCAGAATGGCCATCATCAATAAATCAACAAACAACAAGTGCTGGCAAGGATGTGGAGAAAAAGGAACACCAGTACACTGTTGGTGGGAAGGCAGACTGGTACAATCAGTATGGAAAACAGTATGAAGTTTCCTCAAAAAATTAAAAATGGAAATGCCACTTGACCCAGTGATCCCACTTCTAGGAATATATCCTAAGAATCTTGAAACACTAATCAGAAAGAATATATGCACCCTTGTGGAGCAGCATTATTTACAATATCTAAGGTCTTGAAACAGTCCAAGTGCACATTAGCAGATGAGTGGATTAAAAACATGTGATACATTTACACAATGGAATACTATGCAGCTGTAAAAAAGAATGATCTCTTACTCTTTGAGATAACATGGTGCTACCTGGAGAGTATTGTGCTAAGTGAAATAAGCCAGTCAGAGAAAGACAAATGTCACATGATTTCCCTTATATGTGGAATCTAATGAACAAAATAAACTGAAGAACAAAAAAGATCCAGAGACACTGAAGCATTCAACAGACTGATGTATTTCAGAGGGAAGGGGTTGGGGAAGACATTAACCAATGAATTTATATGCACATATGCATAGTCTGTGGACAGACAATAGTACAGGGAAGGCCTGGAGAAGGTGTGGGACCGGGTGGACGGGGTCAAAAAAAATGAAACTACACCAACTTCTTACACCGTATACAAGAATAAACTCAAAATGGATTAAAGACTTAAATGTAAGATTCAAAATCATCAAATCATAGAAGAGAACATAGGCTGTAAAATCTCTAACATTTCTCTCAGGAATATTTTTTTCTGATGTATCTCCCTGGGCAAGGGAAACAAAAGAAAAAATAAACAAATGGGACTACATCAAACTAAAAAGGTTTGCACAGCAAAGGAAGCCATCAAGAAAACGAAAAGACAACCTACTGAATGAAAGAATATTTTCGTCAATCACACACCTGATAAGGGATTAATATCTAAAATTTATAAAACACTCATACAACTCAACACCAAAACAAACAATTACCCTGGCCAGTGTGGCTCAGTTGGTTAGTGCATTGTCCAGTGCACCAAAAGGTCATGGGTTTGATTCTCACTCATGGCACAACCCAGGTTGTGGGTTCAATCACCTGCCAGGGCATGCATGGGAGGCAACAGATCAATGTTTCTTTCTCACACTGATGTTTCTCTCTTTCTCTCTCTCTTTCCTCCTTTTTTTCTCTGGATCAATGAAAAACATATCCTCGGGTGAGGGTTAAAAGAAAAATACAAAAGAAACAAGCAATCCTATTAAAAATTGGGCAAAGGACCTGAAGAGACACTTCTCTAAAGAGGACATATAGATGGCCAATAGACATATGAAAAGGTGCTCAGCATCACTAGTCATCAGAGAAATGCAAATTAAAACCACAAGAAGATATCACCTCACACCTGTCACAATGGTTATCATCAATAATTCAAATAAAGAAGTGTTGGCAAGGATGTGGAGGAAAGAGAACTCTCCTGCACTGTTGGTAGGAATGTAGATTGGTATAGCCACAAATTAAAAATGGAGCTGCCTTATGACCCAGCAAATCCACTTCTGGGTTCATATTTGAAGTAACCCAAAACACTAATTAGAAAGAATAATGTTTCCTTATGTTCTCTGCAGCATTAATTAAAACAGCTAAGATATGGAAGAAACCCAAGTGCTCATCAGTAGACAAGTGGATAAAGAAGAGTATTTATTTTAGTTGGGCACATACTAATCTAAATCTTATGCTCTCTAAAATTCAAAAGCTTTCCTTGGTTTTCAGTTCTGAAATTGTGTGGTTGCCTTATAGTTTTAGCTTGAGATATTAACCTCGTATTATTTTAATTCAAGTGGAGTATGTTTTTTTCCACTTATACCCTATGCATTTAAAAGATGCCTTCTAGTTCTTAAGGAAGCAGAATAATCTAGAACCTCTGACACTGGCTTGCTTGACTTCTCATCCAGTGTGTTCACAAGGTAGTAAGTGATCTGGAGGGTAAAGACTTTGTTATCTATACCACTTTATAGAAGTAATAAAAATAAATCTTTTTTTAAAAAAATATATCTATCTTTATTGATTTCAGAGAGAGGAAAGGAGGGGAGAGAGAGAGAGAGAAACATCAATGATGAATCATTGATTGGCTGCCTCCTGCACGCCCTTGACTTGGGATCGAGCCCAAAACCCGGGCATGTGCCCTGACTGGGAATCGAACCCCGATTGCCTCAACTGCTGAGCCACGCCAGGCTAAATCTTTTTTTGAAGAGGAACAGCAAAAAACAGCAAAAAACAATTTTCCATTGAATCCAAAGAGGCAAATTTTATCATAAGCCACTTCTAAAGGTACAAATGAAAATCACAGCACCCATCAAAGTTTACTTCAGGTAGGTGTCCTGGAGCTCCCAATTCCAAGGTACAATCAAATCCTAACTAGGGAGTATACCATATATGACATAAAAAAGTTCCTGTGCATTGGTGTGCTAAAAATTTGCAGAAAGTTCCTTTCCTACAATAAATCTTTTTTTAAAATAGTGATTATCCACTCTATGAGCCTTGACTTTTCTCACATCAATTTCTCAACTTTGGCACTACTGACATTTTGAGATGGTTCATTCTTTGTTTGAGGCAGTGTTCTATGTATTGTAGGATGTTTAGCAGCATTCCCAGCGTCGATCCATTAGATTCCATTAGCTTCTCCCAGGTGTGAGAATCAAAAATGTCTCCAGGCATTGCCAAATGTCCACTGGGAGCAAAATAGACCTTGCTTCAGAACCACTTTACTAAATCAAAGTCTTTGCATCTCAGAAAATATCTTGGGATTATCTAAAGCTGTACGGTACCTTCCAAAGTTGCTGTCCTAAACTAAATGTTGCAGTACCTAAACTAAATTAGAAAAAAAAAAAAACTTCTAGCCTGGCAGGTGTGGCTCAGCGGTTGAGCATTGACCTATGATCCAGGAGATCACGTTTTGATTCCCGGTCAGGGCACATGTCCGGGTTGTGGGCTCCATCCTCAACAGGGAGCATGCAGGAGGCAGCCAGTCAAGGACTCTCATCATTGATGTTTCTCTCTCTCCCCCCCTCTCCCTTCCTCTCTCTGAAATCAATAAAAATATATATATTTTAAAACATTTCTAGAGTCAAGCATAATTCCTATATATTAGGCACTAGATTACCATTATTTGAATTAATGAATTATGAATAATTATTCTATTCATTCTAGACATATTTCTGTTGGATGGGCTACTTCCTACTCTCTTCATTTTGATGATTAAAACAGAAAGAGATTTAACAGGAAAATGGAGTCAGAGAAGAAGGAAGTCAATGACAGAAATTTTAAGCAATGTGGTTCATTTTTTAAAAATTACTGACATTTCAAAAGATGGAAGATACATTTTACCATTTGTTTTCTACGCATCTAGGCAGTTACATATAGATATAACATAATTAATTGGAAAGTCTTAGGAAAATGGTAACAGTTTGATATATTATTTTGGATATCTATCTTAGCATTTATATAAAATTGTTTAGTGGATTTAAGTGTTAGAGAGAATACTAAGTTAAGAGGCTTACTATTATACCTCAATCATATTCTTTTGAGTATATAATCCACAGGAAATAATACAGTTTACTGTCCTTTTGTTTTCATTTCAAATTCTTAGGACATCGTTCTAAAAATTAAAAACTAAAAGACAACCTTCATGATATGCCCTTCCTTTGACAATCTTATATAATCGGAACCACAACCTCAGAACCTGTTCTCATTCATCAACTATATAACCAAGTAGATACACAGTTTATGATTTTTAAAACGTAATGCTATGAGCCCTTGTGGGGTGGCTCAGTTGGTTGGAGCATTGTCCCATACACCAAGGGCACAGGTTTCATTCCCAATCAGGGCACGTCCCTAGGTTGTGAGTTTGATCCTCAGTCGAGGCTTGAACAGGAGACAACTGATCTATGTTTCTCTCTTTCTCTCCCTGTCTCTCCCATCTTCTCTCAATAAACATAACTTCGGGTGAGGATTTAAAAAAACCATGTTATAAAATTTTTAAGTCTGATAATCAAATAAAAGTATCCATCATTTCTGAACAGAGAGTAAGGCTCTTACCTACAAGCAACATTTGGATCAGCATTTCTTGAAAGTAGCAGCTCTACACACTTCAGGATCTGTTCCTCTGGGCCACGAGCAGAACATGCAGTTATCAAAATAGTCTGCTTATCTATGGTGAATAGAAAAATGAGAACCACCCTGAACATCAATAAGTATATATAACTGACTTATTTTACCATTCAAAAGATAATAAAAAGTACTGCACTCTTAAAATTCTACAACTTATTCCCAAATCTCTTTCTCTTAGTAGGTAACTTTATGTCTTCCTTCATCAACAAATAACATTAGGGCTGAATTGCCTTAATCTCCAAATTATATCTATAATTCATTTCTTCATTTCCTTTCCCTACTCCTATTTCTTCAAGAGAATAGGAAAGTAGGGAAGAGCATAGATTCTGTGTAGAGATACTGCCCAGAGTTGAACTTTTTGGTTGATTAAAATTTGCCTTGCTGAAATCATGGTTGAAAAACAATGATTGCTATTCTCTGATTTCACATCTTCTCATTCACTTGACAATTCACTGAAATCTGGCTTATGCCCAAACCATCCTATTGAAAATGATCTTCTTAATCCTTTTCTACTTGATTTCTCTGTTCTCACCCTACTTACTAAAACTCTTCTTCCCTTGGGTCCTATGGTATCAGCACAGATCAGGGTAGATTAAAAAAACAAAAACACTTCTTAAGTAAAAATTGAGAAATCAAAATAGGTCATGGCAGTCATGGTTTACATTAGTGGCTCAATATTGGATGAATATAAAGATATATAGTCCCAGTTCTGCCATTAATAAGCTGTGTCTACAGTGATATCTTAGTATCTCAGTAGACCTAATTTGTAGATAGGAAACTAATATCTGTCCAGTTTACCTGATGAGGTTGTTGTTGACTATATAAAAGAATTTATGTGAACATTTTATGAAAAATATCAATATAAAATGCTAGATTCTAACTGTAAGGTATTCCTCTGATTACAAAAAGCAAAGAAAGAAAGCTATTACTTTTTTTGAGAATATTTTATGGACTTTCAAAAATCTCATTCCTGAATTTACCTTTCACTGGGTGATATTTTAAAATGACACAATAAAAAGAAAAACTCATCACAGCAACTGATTAAACATAAAACTGTTAAGGTGGGAATTCATATAAAATGAGGAAACAAAATATAAATGGTATTACAAATACCTAATGTAGGTACAAACTTAATGAAAATTTAAAAAAACTTAATGTGAAAATTAATTCTAAAATAAAATCTATACCTGAATTATGAAATGAATATAATTGCCCATTTGAAACATGTTAAAGACAAGTAATCAGTAATTCAATATAGTAATTAAACTAGACTTGCACATATACTCTTATTTTTCAAAAGCACTCAACAAAGTATTGAGTGGAAATTATTTAATAAAAAAGAGAAAAATATGGATTTAATAAACTATCTTTGAAACAACTTTAGTATAATTCAGAGTTAAGTTTTAAATTCCAAGGACTGATTTTCAAGTAATTTTCCACAAAATTACAAGCTTTTTGACGTTTTCTTTCAATGCATTTTCCATTATAAAAATAACCCAAACCCTTTAGCATAGAAGCTAAAGATATATAATAACACAATCAGTTATAAAAATAATATAAATGGAATTTACCTCTTTGGAAAGAGAGTTTTTCAAAATTTCTATGGTTTCTAATTTGATTTTGAATATCATTCACCTAATATAAGTTTAAAAAGAGGTTTTTTAAATTGCTTTAATTTTTTCACTTTGCTTAATAGCTGCAAACAGTAAACATAATCAGTTACATGATCTCAAACACCTTACCCTTATTTTTTTTCAAGGATAAACATTTATTTTAAAGTGAATATATAAAAACAGAGCATGGTAAGTGTATATTATCACCCCTAAACACAATATAATAAGGCATCTAAACTGAGAAATATACAAAGTAAATTTTCACATATGTTAGATATTTAAAACATCTTACCCTTATCAAAACTTGCATTAGCACCTCTGTCCAAAAGGACCCGAACCAGCTCTACATTGGAAACACTAGCAGCATACATAAGGGGAGTCCATCCATACTGAAAGCTGGAATCTACACTAATGCCTGTCAAAATAAAAACAAGCTTTTAAAAAACACCACCACCACACATTCCAAAAAAAAATTCACTGTCACCTTAACATGCTTCAAGTACTGGGCATGTGGCATCACCATGTATACTTTATAATAAGAAGGAATTTCTTGGTAATAATGTCTTCAGAAAAACAGAAAATGGTTATATCTAAACTTTAATAAAATTAGCTAATTTCATTTTCACTGTGGGCGCTATGTTTCAGGACACCTGATCTGACAAGTTTTTTTTTATCATAAAACTGCTATGTTATAACAGGTTTTACATACTATAATTTTCTGTGTAGGAGAGTTGGAAAAGGTTTCACAGAGGTAAACTGTTTTTTGTTTTTTTAAATTAGAATAGTATACATTTCTATAGTGGTGAACACCACATATATTCTTCAGATTCCCTTAATTTCCTTCCTAAAACAAAATTTATCCATGGGTGCTTGGTCAAACCTGAGGCAACAAAGATAGAGGTTAGGGTTAAATTATGAAAGCTTGATTAAGAAATGTTGACGGTACTTTGTGATCCAAGAATGGACACCATTATTTCTGTATTATAAAGACAACAAAGGTACCACTGTTGAGAGTAGAACAGAAAGGCAGGGAGGCCAGTTATGAGACTAGAAGCCTATGTAAAAGTTATAGCAAGGGAAGTGGGGAGAAAGAGGATGGAATATAAAAGAACATTTCAAGCACAGATTCATCAGAATTTAAAATTACTTTGAAGAGAAGAAGTGATAGAAAAGAACAAGTCAAAATGACCATCAGGTTCTGCCTTGGACAAATTAATGACAAACAATGTGCTAGAATTAGAAGAAGCATAGATCAGATATCAGGCTTGAGGAACAGGATCAAGTTTTAAAGCCATTATCCAGAATTCGACAAGAAAGGACAGATAATAACTATTTAGCAAATATGAGAGCCAGCTGAGCCAGCTGACCTTAAAATTCTCAAGTCATTAATGGTAAAAATCCTTGGAGTCACCTGATTTTATCCAATAGCACTGACTAATTTGATCATATAAAAATGGGAGAAAAATGGTTGAACTGATCTAGGTTTGGATCTAGAACTGGGGAAGAACATAGAAGATGTGATACAAGAACAAGGATACAATGAGGTAGTGAACATAGCCTATTCAATGTATGTAAAGCCTTTTCTATAAAAAGATCAAGATTTAACTGGCAGTCTCTTTCTTCAATCTAAGAAATATTTGTTAATGTTAAGAAAAGAAAGAAAACAATGTTTTTCTCTTTCGAAGAAGGAAAACCTGTATGCAAAAACCACTGACTATAGGCCTGTCTTTAACATCTTTTTATAGATTTACAGTCTCTGGCTATAAAGGGTTCCATCCCCAAAGAGGAAGATCATATACACACTAAGCTGCTGTCTAACTTTAATTGATATAAGGTGCATGATAATTACTGAGAGAAAACAACATAAAACGTTCTTAGTACATATATAGACCGTTGGCCCAACCTGTCTTCTCTAACAATTTTTTTCCTTTAAACAGCTGCAACTGAAAGCATATGAATAAGATCAGAGAAAAAAATTACTTTTTGTCATTATTGTTTCCCTACTGACATTACTGCTCAAACCTGACTGCATATATAAAAAGGAAACAATGTGAAGAAAAAGATAAGCAAATGTGGCATGTTAGTATGAAAATTCTTAATCATCACCTCTAATACTTAAATAATCACCTCTAATATTCAAAAAAGCATCTATTATGCTCTAGATATAGTATAAAACCAGTAAGTTTAAGAAGATTGAGACAATATATTTATGTAACTCAAAGGCATTCAAAGTAACAGTATGTTGTTTTGGGATATACACATATAGAGTAAAAGTCTAAAGATTTGCATAGGAAAGATAAATACCAACTATAGTAGAGTGGTAATCTCCAGGGGGAAGGAGACAAGTCTCCATACCTTTCTGAATGTCTGAAATATTTAATTACTTAAAGAGAAATGAAAATAGTACATAGTAGAATAATAAAAACAGATATCTTTGAACTGTTAAAAGTGGCAGACTCAAAGGAAGCTTTCATTTTTATTAAGTTTTTCAACTGGTGCAGAAATATGTATAAAGACAAGAATGACTTTGAAAGGCAAAAAAATAAAAAATATTTTAAGAATTGTTAAGTAATAACATCTGGAAAGAAACAAGGAAACACTAAAATAGGAATTACCTGTGAAAGTGAGAATTCAGAGGTAATGGGGGTGAAAGGTATCTTTCTATTCGTAACTATATACTATTATTGGTTGTTTTAAATGAACTTTAAAAATTTTTGCCATTAAACAACTTTAAAAGGTTGACTAAATTCGTATTTTACTGGTAGGCTCTTTTCAAGTCCTCAGCCTTCAGGAGCTTCTATCACTTCATTGCACCTAGTTCCACTACTCCTAAGGCAAACTCTTCTTTTCTAAAACAAGTTTCTGCCTATTACATCACTTCCAACACTCCTGCATGTGTTTATTAGGTATTAGGCATCAGTTAATTATTCAAATTTTATCCAACTTCATTTGTCAATTACAACTCAAGTTCCATTGTCCACAAAGTCACACAATTTCTTTTTTTGTTATAACAGCTAATATTTACATGCCTATATGTTCTAAGAACTTTATTAATGTATTCTCTCATTTTAATTCCTCTAAAATTACCTTTGATATAGTGCATCCCATTTAAAAAGGGGGGAAATTGAAGCTTAGGAAGGTTTGGTAACTTGGTCAAGAGTACTAGCAGGACTAGTATTCAAACCCAGAACTGTAATGTTTCCAAAAGGATTTACTTTCCACTAAACCATGAGGCATCACTAGCACAGAAGACAAACATTTTTCTATATACAATATCATTTAGCTATTTTGTGTGTGAGTTTTTTTTTCATTTTTTATTTTTTTCCATTACCATTTATGCCCTCTATGCCCTCTTCCGCCTCCTCTCCTTCCTCCCCAATCACCACACTGTCGTCCATGTCCATGGTTCTCTCTTTGCTTTCTTTTTTTTGCTCAATCCCTCTACCCCTCCAACACCTCCTCCCTCCAATGGTAAATTCCTGTTATTTATTTGGATAATTTCAATCATTATTATCAACAACTCACATTTCTATGTCAAGGTAATATTTTAAAATAATATAATATTTAATTTGATCTACAAAAACAACTAATCATGGGACCCAGGCCAGAATTTACATAAAGAAATTGATGCTCTGGAAGTTTAAATGTCATTTCCAGACAACCACAATGAGTAGGCAATAAAGCTGAAATAGATACCCAGATATTCTGATTCCTACCTCCCACATCATTTTACACGCACACACAAATGCGTGGAAGAACAAAACTGAGATGTACATAACAGAATCAACTCTTGAGAAACATAGTAATATATCACGGAAATGCTGAGAAAAGTAAGAGTTACCATAGTGGGGTAGGATTAGTCAGAATAAGCCTCTTGAAGGAAGTGGAAGAACTAACGGAAGGTAATAGGGTGGCATTCCAAATTAGAGGAAGAAAAGGCAGAGAACTCTGAGTCAAGAAAGATACGTAGGACACTTGATATATTAACATTCACTGTGATTCCATTAGAAAAGTAATTCAAACTTTTTAAAATAAGAAACAGTTGTGAACTTAGACAATTGCGTTGGGTTGAAACTATCCCTTATTTCTCACCAGAATTTAGGAGCTCTTGGACCAATGAAATATCTCCCGTGGTCAATGCTTTCTTAAATATTTCATTCTTTTCTTCGGTGGGTAACGGCCCTTTTAATTTCTAAAAAGGCAGAGTTTAAAGAAAATAGTTATACATATTTTCATTTCCACTGCAGCAGAAAACAATGTTTGGTTTTAGGTAACTTTTTTTTTTGAACAGGGGTGGGGGTGGGGCACAGGTAATGGCGGCCCAAACCCAAGTGAAGAGCTACCACATCAACAACCTAAACAAGTGCAGTCAATGAAAAATACAATAAGGAAAGACGATTTGTTTGTTTCAAATCCAAAAACCTGTCTTTCCACTGGAAAAACAAGCTAGGGAAACAGGTGAGGAAGTAAAAGGTTGCACGAGGTCGGGTCTTCGAGGACCAAGGGAGGCCGACCTAGGCGCAATGAAGAAAAAGCCTTCTCTGCTACCTGAGATGCCCGATCGAGATACCCAATCTCCCAGCCGTCATCCTCGCTCTCGCTACTCTCGCCTCCACCGGCCACTGCCAAGCTGCGAAACATGCCTGCTGCCATACCCGCCGCCATGCCCTAAGGCCCCTCCCTACCCGCACAGCCGCGCGGCCCGCGTGCGTGCGCGCCCCC